CTAGGGTTATTTCCAACAGAAACCTTTTACCCAAAGTGTTTATTTGCTGCCATAAAATGCCTTTGGTTTTCTGTTTTGAGAACTCTTCAGCCTTCATGATACAAAATAGTTAAATAAATGTCTCAGTGGCTTTCTGTAGATACTTTACTACTGGAATACCTTTTTCTTCTGCAGCAAGTAGCACTGGTGTTTTTAATCTCTTGTAGAGAAGATTTGGGGTTGTTGAAATTACAGCTGACTCAATTTTACAAGTACAAACAACAGAGTGCAAGAGAGAAAGCTAGCAGCTCCTCCCAGACATTTTATAAATCATGCATACTCCTAGTAGAATTATTTATGAAATGTTTATGACAGCACTGTATGAAAAGAAATAAACCTGGGTAAAGCTGTCTCTTGTTAAATTTTACTGCAGAACTGCTGGTCTGGATCCGTGTGTCACAGGCTGTTGTGTAATTTGTTAGCTGTCACTCATCTGCAACTTAAATGAGCAAAAAAGGCATGTTCAGTTAGCCCTGACTTCTTCTCATTTGACATATTAGAATAATGTCAGGATGCTCAGAACTTCCTTTTTTCAGTTCCAAGAAAAAATAGTGTTCCTGCATTATTGTGCCTATTTGTTTCCCAAGCAGCAAAGAAAGTCCCTGATTTTCTGGTTTTGCATGCTCATGGCTTTGTTAGTGATGGCAATCATATGAATAAATATTGCTCTTAGATTTTAAGGAGTTTTAGCTGTGTTCCTATAAATTACTGTCAAATCTGGTGGTTCTGGCCATTTGTCTCTTGCATGTACAGGTACATTCCAGCTTTTCTCCTCTTCTTCTTCTCAGTGTGAGTGTAAATATATACAGAGATTTTTTTTAGGATGGCTGCAGGATGGTTTCTATAGTAACTAAATTAGAAATTATTTCAGCAGGAGAAAAAAAAATCCCAATATATTGCTTTATATAGTAGGGCACTTATTTATCCAGATTTTGTGGTGCTATTAATAAAACAAAGTTAAACTTTGTGCACAGATGATGGGCATTGATCAGGCTGTGGGTAGGTGGGATTGTGGAAGAAGCACTTTGAGCTCCATGTTCCAGCAAGTTCTCCATATTTAATATACACTGTTTGTGTTTTCCTGGCACATCTTCTGTGGTAATAATCATCTGTTGTAATAAAGATCTTCATGTCCATCTTTGGTAACTTCCCCACAGACAAAAGCTGTGCATGCACACCATTTACTACAGTGTTGACACTGGTGTGCATGAAGTCTTGCTGCAGACTGTTATGGATAATTGTTCTGGTTTTAATTCCAAAAGCAGTGCAGTGTGTTTATTCTGCCTTTGCTCTGTGCTCTGGGCAAGCAGGGTCAGAGCAAGGTGGGGGCATCCTGAAGCTGCAGACAGCAGCAATTCCCTTTATTTTATCTTTGTTCATGCCCAGTGTGACTGGGCACTGGCAGGAGACTCTGCTGGGCAGAAGGGCAAGCTCTGGACACTGAGTGGTTGGAGTCTAAAGTTGGTGCTGCAGGTTTCTAAAGGTAGTTGCTATTACACAGCACAGTGGGAGCTGCTCTGGTACTCTCTGTGCAGCAGCTTCTTCCCTAGTTGTGTTCCAGGCTGAGAGTTACATCTGAGAGCAAAGGTGGTTCTGAAGAGGAGAGCAGGGTTCTGTTTTGGGGTTCTGTGTGAGCAGAGCCATACAGGTGAATTTGAGATGCAGGAGAGAAGGCTCTTATCAAGTCCCCAGTACAGGGGACAAACAGGGAAGATGCCTCAGCTCTCCTGGAAGTTGGGCAGTTCCATCAAGGAGATTTCATTTTATGCCTCAGTTGTTTTGATACATTCCCAGAGATACACATTACTGGTCACTGTCAGAAATATGGCATTGAGTGAATATATGAGATTTTCTTTTGATGCAATTCAGCTGTTTGTTTCTCTCCCATTTCCTGAAGTGTAACTCAGCATTAATGATTCTCATACCTTTGATTAAAGTGAAAGATCTGTTACAGAATTTAATGTCTCTGTTTGACACAGCTGGCTGTCTATCATCCAAGGGAGGAGGAAAATCCATTAGCAATGTTCTGAACCTGTTTCAGGTGTGTGCTCTGCCCAGTCTGAGTTTGCTGCCAGTGTTGGCTTGAAGAACCCGCAGTGCCAAGGGGCAGCTCCTCAGGGCTGCCTGAGACAGCCTCACTGAAAGGTTCAGCATTTCCTGCCATCTACTCAAAAACCTGAAACTGGAGGAGCAGCAGACTAAAACCACTTTTGTAGCAATCTCACCACTCTGCTTTCCTTCCTGTCCTTGGCTGGGAGAGATCTGAGTTACTCTCCTCCTGCTCATAGTTGATGTGTCTCTTTTTGGTTGGCAAATGTGCTTCCAGCACCTAGACATCTGCTATGGGAACATGAGCCTTCCAACCAAACTGCTGCCATTTAAATCAGGCTGGGGGGAAGTGGAAAGAACTTGAAGAAACTCACTGTGCATCCATTGAGTTGAGATTGTGCCCTCAGCACGGTGAGAGGTGCAGTTTAATCATGTGTGGAGGCTCTGAGAAAATTAATAATTATGTTTTAGTTTGATCATGATTGATTCTGAAAAAATGTTGGTCTTTTTAGTGCTTCTAAAGCTTTATTTGAAAATGACTACAAGAAATTGCCAACTCAAAAAAAAAAAAAAAAAAGACATCCCAAGGGACATCCCAGAAATCACAAGGGTTTAGTTATTCCATTTTGCTGTTCTTACTTGTGAGGGTTTTGGATGCCATTTTTATGCAGCCACAAGGGAACAGAAACCTTAAAGGAATCATTACAAAAAAACCCAAAAACCACTTTGATTCCAGCAACTAGATAATGCTTGAAGCAAGTTATTAGACTTAGTACCATTTAATATGTAAAAACTACCTAGAAAAGGGGACCTCCACCATTGATACTGTGTAGTTGCACTAAACAAAACACTAACAATGCCATAATGATAACATATAATAATTGTCTATTTTTTTCCTACTATTTTTCTTTTTTGTGCTTAGGCTAGGTAGATAGGGGTGGTTTTGGATGCCATTTTTATGTAGCCACAAAGGAACAGAAACCTTAAAGGAATCATTACAAAAAAACCCCAAAAACCACTTTGATTCCAGCAACGAGATAATGATTGAAGCAAGTTATTAGACTTAGTACCATTTAATATGCAAAACCAAGTGTCTAGAAAAGGTGACCATTGACACTGTTTAGTTGCACTAAACAAAATAGTAACAATGCCATAATGACAACATATAATAATAGTTTGTTGGGTTTTTTCTACTACTTTTCTTTTTTGTGCTTAGACTAGGTAGATAGGGATGGTTTTAGATGCCATTTTTATGCAGCTACAAGGGAACAGAAACCATGAAGGAATCATTACAAAAAAAACCCAAAAACCACTTTGATTCCAGCAATTGACACTGTGTAGTTGCACTAAACAAAACGGTAACAATGCCATAATGACAACATATAATAATAGCCTATTTTTATTTTTTTCTACTACTTATTTTCTTTTTTGTGCTTAGTCTAAATAGGGTCCCTAGGGATGGGGAGATCTGGTTAGGGGATGGTTAAATTCCTACCTACTTCAGAAGATAGAATTGTCTTTAATATCTGCAGGGCATGGCTGTGGTGTGTCCGGTTATC